TTGACATCCATTCAAGCGTAGGAGGTCAATACAAATCAGATATCTATAAGGCAATAAAAGGCCACAAAGCAATGAAAACAAGTGGATAGCTACAAGGCAATAAAAAGGCCACAGAACATTAAAAATAGTAACTAGGTAACATTATACTCATATCTAGATAACATTATAATGCAACTGGATAACACTCTTATAAAAGTGTTATCCAGTTTTATTAACAAATAATGTCCCTACTTTTTTTTCTCATTCTATCTTTCTTTTTATTTAACCTTTCTTTCTTTAAATATTTCTAAATAGAAATTTTAGTTAACAAAATCATGTTTTATCTGACAATAATAATATTATGCTATTCCTTTCAGATATTATCTAAAAAGGAACTTTATAATAACAAAACCCTTATCAAATGATGCTAAATTAGAAGATTTTTAATAATATAGCTCTGTATATTATATATTGAAATTAGTTATTGTATCTCATACAATATAACAAGTTTATCATTTTATTAATATAATATTTATATGATCTTAAAATAATGATATTTTAAAAAAAAATGTTTTTAGATTAAAAAACTAATATTTTTAATATATTTCTTAGAAATTTCATGCTCTTTTTTTATAATATACAATTTTATTTTTATTTATTTTATTTTTTTTAATTTTTTTTAAGAATACAAATTATTAATTTATAATAATTCTAATTTTAAATCAATATTTTTTAGTTTTAAATTAAAGCAATCTTCTAAAATCACATATTTAATAATTATAGTTTGAATTATTATATAAGTAGTTAAATAAAACATTTGTATAGAATATTTTATGATAGAGATCACTATTATATTTATTTATAATAATTGTAAAGTAAATATATTATATATTCTTAATATATTTACTTATTCAAAATAAGAAAATTTTATATTAAAAATCATTAATTGATCTTTTTTTAAAGAAAATTAGTTACATTTTTAATAATTGTAATTAATAATATAAAATAAACTAACTTTTATGTAATATTTTATATAAAATACTTTGTAATAAATTTTAATTTTTGATTAATGCTTCTAATATAAAAAACTATGAAAAATCTAATTTTCATATTAGTTTTAACATATAGAGGGTCTTCAAAAATTACGCATACTTTTTTTCATACAAATTTTCTTAAAATTTTATTAAGTAATTAAGCAATTTATAAATAATAAATAATGTTTCTAGACTATTAAAATATAAATTTTATTAAGGGTTTAATACTTGATCAGATCACTATTTGTATTTATTATCATCTGAATTTATTAAGACATACTTTTGACAGGATCCAAATATTTCTAATATAACTCACATTTTAGTTTTCGCAAATTTGTATAAATTATGTCTAAAGTTATAATTAGAGTTTTAGCAAATTAGTCTAAATTTAGTTTAAAATCATATTTTTTAGTTTTAGCAAATTGGATTGATTTTCATGAAGTCATAATTTATTTTTGGGCAATTTGATACCTTTTTTAGTAATAATATATATGATATATAAATTTTTTTTGATAAAAAAAAATCTTTTCTTAAAAAAACATTTTTACATGAGTACATGACTAGTTTTTAAAAAAATAACACATATTCTCTAATCATAATGAAGTGGAAATATACTAGAGAACGTTTATCTAAAAATAATTTTTGTAGAGCTATTATAAGTAAATGTGTAGTATTTTGCATTTGTAGACAAAAAGTATTACTTGATAAAGATTATGATGATTTACAGCTTAATGAATATTCAAGAAGTTCAAGATGTAAACTAAATAATAAAAAATGACAACTTGGTCTACCTGGTTTATTTCCTATTTTACCTAATAAAAAGACAAAAAATACCACTCTAGAACTATTATCACCATCATTAACAAACTTAACATCAAATATATCATATTCTGAACTTATCTCTGAATAAATAAAGACATATATTAATTAAACACCAGTTATATATAGAGGTATACATTAGCAAGAAGTTATTGAAAAATAAATATTTTCAGATAAATTTTTATATAAATCAAAATTCGATTCTAAGAAGCTTAATAATGATGAAATTATTGAACTTAATAAACAAATTGTAGCTAAATCAGAATAGTTTATTGATCGTCTTGGTAAAATTATTATTTTTTACAATTTTTTTTGATTATCAATTAAAATTTAAGATAATCTTTTTTATATTAAAAAAATGTGTTCAATCAGTCAATTGTGAAAAAAAACTTATAGGCAGACTTGTTCACCATATTTTCTTATTCGTAATAATTCTTATTTTTGAAATCATATTCGAGCTGCTATTCCTGATCCAAAAAATATTAAACATACACCAAAATTTTATTTTGATAATAATACATTATTAACATATATAAAAAACTCTCAAATTAAACAATTAAATGAACTCCTTATTGACGAAAATTCACCATCTGCAGAATTTTGATTAGAACTTACTAATAAAGCTGCTTAAGGTGTATTTGAATAAAGACCAGTATTTAAAGGGCTTTGCTACATTATGTTACAAGCTGCAGAACATGAAGAAAAAGATAAAGACTTACAAAATCTCAAGTATTCTAATGAATTTTTAGATTTTCTTGTTATTTTGGAAAGTATTAGTCTAAAAGCATTAGATTTATTTCATTAAAATTTGGCTGGTATGATAATTTGTACAATTAGGTAATTAAATTTATATGTATTACATTTATATTTAAATATATTTATAATTTTAAATTAATTATAGACGTTATAGAAGTGCTTTAGAAAACTCTATTAATAATCCTGAACTTTGTTACGAAAATGTTGCTAGGTTTAAAAGGCTTTTAGACATAATAAATTATAAAGGTCCAGTGGTAGCAATGACTGATTACACAAAATTAAAAGCAGGATTACAATATTCATCAAAATTGGGTTGTATTGTTAGATTAACTTTAAATAGTAATAATTGCAAAATTGAAACTTATAATGATATATATGATAAAGTTTCTAATATTAAACAAAGGAATGCAATTGCAAAAGATGTCAGAATTTATGTTCTTCAGGTAATTTTTATTATTATAATAATAAATTTTTCGAAATGCATTTTAAAAAAATCAAAATCAAAATTATACACTTAAATAAGCTGTTATATTTTAATCAGTGTAACTTATATGCACATATCGCAATATCACATATATATATATTAAAAATTCTTTTTTATGATTAGGCCGATAAAGAAATTACTAATTAATTAATTGTTATTATTATATATCAGGTGTCTTTTCCAAAATTTCCGCCTATAATTATTGCATTAATTCCAACTGCTAGGAATAATAATGCTGAAAAAGTTTTTGCATTACATCAAAAACTTATTGATATTTTGACAAGATTTGAAATACATATTATTTCCATTGGATCAGATGGAGCAGCTACAGAATTTCAAGCACAAAACCTGTTATAAGTAACTAAAATTAACAGGCATATTTAATATTAAAACTTTCAATTTGGTATTAATTTTAACTGTCTTATATTCTCTAAAATTAGACCTGTAGTTCGAATTCAAGACCCAAAACATGGAAAAAAACAGCAAGAAATGCTGCTATGTCTGGTGTCTGTTTACTTAATTTTGGAAATTCTACTGTCCGATTTGATCAACTATTAGAATTATTTCATAAAAAAGATAGTGTTATGTATAAACGGGATATTATAAGATTAGATCGCCAAGATAATAATGCAATATATAGAATGTTTTGCTCAAAAAACCTGGAATAACTACTTGATAAAGAAAAAAATTTACCTTGTGAATAGCGTGGATTGTTTATTTATCTTTTCATTATAGGTAAGTACTATTGTTTTTATTTTTATTTTTATTTATTAAATGTTTAATTAATTAAATTTAACTTAAGAGAACTTATTGATTGCTATCTCAATCAAAATATTACACATTATGAAAGGATCGAAATGGCTATGACTGCATATTTTTTTTTACATTTATAGAAATATCATATTGAAACTCTTAATATACTTTATTCTTTTTATATATCTATTTTAAAAAACTTTTTAACAACGCAAACTTTTAATATTATGATTAGTCTAGTTGAATCCTTAGTTCTTTTAATTAAAATTTACTGTGATTATTATAAAGATATTCCTTTATTACCATGGAAACATGACACTGAATCATGTGAACTTATTTTTGGAATTTCCCACCAATTTTACTCTGATTTTAATTATTTGAAAATCGTTCAAATGGTTCTAAAAATTAATCAATATTTTAGATCTATTAAATCTAATAATTTAACATTTAGAAAGGAAAAAACAATGCGTAAAGGTAAGTATTTTTTAAGTCTGTCATATGATTTAATTTATTTTACATCATATGATTTATTACATTTTTGATCAATTTATTTAGGTTATGATTTTAATGGATGTGAAAAATTGATCTTATAGATAATAATCTTGAATATTTACGCTAATGGCCATCTAATGTTGAGATTGATAATGCAATTAAAGCAAGTTATGAAAAAGCTGTTCATTTAGCAAAATATTTAGAAATGATCACTATACTACATGATGTCCATTACTTTACCATTCACAAAAGACTTCCTACTTTACAACTTGAAGATTTTTGGGATGATAATCCAAATTTATTTAGGTATACTGATGAAGAGTCTAATGATAATAATAATTCAACTATTTCTCAAAATATAAACTATACAGTATCTAAATTATCAAGTCAAAAGAAATCTGATTTATCAGATTTGAATATTATAGCATCTATACCTTTATTAGAAAAAAATTAAACCTGTCAAGTAATTGTGAAATATATTTAAAAATTACCTGATATTTTATAGTATTCGAATTGTAAGTAATTTATTATTATTATTTAATATTTTTTCCTAATTTGTTTTTTTTAATTGTCTGTATATTTGTATGTGGATTCCAAAGATTTTGATTATATTTTGGATGATGGATTATTAAATATTGAATACTTTTTAAATTTGCGTTAATATTATGATGCTTATTCAAGTAAAAAGGTTAAACGCAAAAAAGTTTTATTGAGAAATATCAATAAAAATAATAACAAAGTTGACATTAATAAAGCAAGTAGTTTAGTTTCATATTTGACTAAAAATGATTCTATAACTATCAAATCACGAGAAAATAGATGAAAATTAGGAGAAAATAATAATAAAGTATTTGGAAAGCAAAACTCTTTAAGTAAACTTAGAATTTTTCTTATTAATTAGTTTTTTAATTTTCTTTAACTTAATTTATCTTTTTATTTATTTTTTTAGAGTATCTTTCATGTGCTAATGTAACTGCTATTTTTCTGTTACAAACTGATTCTTATGTAATAGTTATATTTGATAATACACTTTGTATTGCTCAAATTATTGCTATGTATGAACAAAAGGTTTCAGTGTATTCTTATATTAATACTTTTGTTTCAAATCTCAAATCTCTTTCGTACGTATTTATGAAAATTTATTTTCATGTTAATAGTGCAATTTTTTCGAAGATTTTAGATAATTCTTTTTGTATTTTTACTCATATTGATATTTTACATATTATTAACCATTTGGCTTCTAAAGATATTAGTATTAATGAAGAAACATTGATTTTTAAAGGATGTGCAAAAAAAACTTTTAATGTACTTAACAAAGAACTGAATAAATAATTTGTATATAGATTATAGAAATAAAATAAAAATACAGTTTCAAATAGTTTGGTCATATGATTTGTTGATCAATTTAAAATTAAGAAACAGGAATGATTTTTAATATGCTTTTCATGATGAATTTAATTAATTATGTATGTATTACAAACTTTATTTTGTTATTTTTGCAGTTTATGCAAATTTATCCAATAAACTTTATTAAATAATATAAAAAAATATTTAAAGTCATCTTTTAAATTTTAGCAAATTAGTATAAATTTCAATGTAATAATTTGATTTTGAGCAAATTAGGCTAATTTTGAAAGGAGCAAAAAGTAATTGATTTTATGTAGATCAGTTATGAGTTCTATATGTAATATCCGGGATCCTGTTTCAGAAGAACAGTATTAAAGATGTAAATCAGCTGTGAATCCATAAAATGTTTGTACTTCATAATGGTAACAACCTTCTTAATTTCACTATGTATTTGATTATAAATAAACTTTTTGTTAGACTTGAGCGAGATCCAAACTCCTAAGTATCTAACACTAGTTTTTGAAAAAGAGCATTAATAGACTACGTATTATTATCATAATAGATTTTGAAGGGAAGCTGTTGTGAGGTGTTAACAACTTACAACTAGTAATAGAAAGATTAAGAAAAGCGAATCTCAAAATCAAATTGAAAAAATGCTCTTTTGCTTTACATGAATTAGAATATTTAGGACATATTGTAGAAAGCAATAGTATCAAACCAGATTCTAAAAAGTTGCAAACTATGAAGAACTTACCTATGCCTAAAATACTAAAAGAAATCAGAACAGCTTTAGGATTATTTTTCTATTACAGACGTTTTATTCAAAACTTTGCAAAAATCACTAGACCCTTACATGACTTAACAAAAAAGAATAAGGAATGGAATTGGACCAATCAAAATCAAGATTCATTTAATACGTTGAAATAAAAATTAATGAAAGCTTCTGTCTTAGCCCAACCTGATCTTAGAAAAGTTTTTATATTATAAACAGACACTTCTGATAAAGGATTCAATGCTATTCTTACTTAAAAAGATGATCAAAATGTTAAACATCCAATCACTTTTGCTAATAGAAAATTATCTGATCTAGAATTAAAATATACTACTACAGAAAAAGAATATTTAGC